AACATTATTTATTTAGATCTGGGTTTTATATTTAGGCGTAATGTGTATTTTTGTTTTTAGATTGATATAGATTTCAAGTTTAAGTTCTCTCAATGTGAAAACATGTTGACAAACTATGATAAAGTATTTGATAAATTATTAAGCTTAATCAAAGTAAAAGTTAAAGACCCAGCTTCACAAAAAGTGTTAACTGAAATGGAAAATACTGATATTGATGAAAGTGAGTACATATGAATCTGATAAAATGTTGTGTAACTTAAAATAATACCAAACAATATAATGTTAATATGACGTGTTATGTTTACGTAGATAATTTTAAACTGTTGTGAATTTTTTAATAATTGTTTAATATACTTTATAATGGGTAATGGGTAAATGTTTGTCTATTTCTATGTCTAAATACTAAACTTTAAATACTTTACGCTAATTTACAACTAGGTAGTTCAAATTTGAATTTTCATGTAACAAATTCATCCAAAACCTTCCAAATATTCTGATTGTTATTTAAAATTAAAAATATAAATTATCATTAAAATCATTCAAATAAAAAAAAATTATTTTGTAATGAATCAAAGTTATGTACGATAGATATTTTCATAAACATTAATAGTTTTTGTAGTAATGAGTATTTTACATTAAATTAATTATAATATGGTATTGTTTAACTTTTTCTGATACGATCAATGTTTTTTGCAGATGGACGTAATGCTTGTATTTTTTATCTTATTCATTCTGTACTGGTTCCAACATCCAAAATAATGAAGAAAGATAATAATAAACGTTCACTCATAAAATATTCAATCAAGGATTCACAAACATCGTTTATAATTTTTGCTCATACTGTTGAAGAAATTGAAGAAACAATCAGTGCATTGAGAGAAAAAGGAGATCCCATACAGCCATTTATTATGGTAGTGGGTACTATTCTTAAGCCAAAAGAAATTTTAGTTTTTTTTGACTATGCTAAATTTAAAGTTTTCTCAGTTGTTAGAGCTGTTGATATTTGCTTTAAAATTATTCACTTATTTCATTTGAAATATCCATTACAATGTACTATGGTTTGGCATTTTTTGCAAAAAATGTTGTATAAGTTGGAAACCCCTTATGATACTGTGTTCCCTCAAGTCTCTAAAATGATATGCGAGTTAAATAATTAATTTAGTTAGCAATTAAGTTTTCTTTTGTATTCTTCTTTATTACAAATCCAAGTCGGAGTTTTTGAATAAGCAAATTTTTTTTTCTATGATTACTATTATTATTATTATATTCAAAAAAATATAAAGATGTCGCAATATAAGTTAATTATATTTATTAATTATTATTGGTTTATTTCTATACCTAACCTTATAACCTTTTAACATCACAAAAAAAAAAATGGAAATAATAGTATATTTTTTCAAATGTATATTATTGATTACTTAAATAATATAGTATAAAATACAAATATATATTTATATAATATATTTGTACTTAGGTATGTAGTTTAGGTATGGGTGGGCAGCTCCAAGACTAAATAATAAATATAAGAGGTGACTTATCTGGAATGCTTTTTTGTAAACATAAAAAAGTAACCATACCAAAAAATAAACATGTAAATTCAAAACATATGTTTATTAATTTGACAAACTAATTTGTTTAATTGAAAAATAAATGGGTATTGTGTCAAAATATGGTTTTACAAATTAAAAAATAAATTTATTTATTTAACAAACTATACTTTTCGTGTTAATAAAGCTATTTATCAACCTAAGAATTTGAGTTTAAATTTGACAAATACGATGTGTATTTTCACAAATAAGTAGTTATTGAGTTAACACCACATTTATCATTTTAATAGTTTTATTTTCAATTTGATAATAAAGTAGTTATTTATTTGATAAAGTCAACTCATAATTTAATAATTTTGTAACTGAGATTCTACAATATTATTGTTACATATTCATTAACAATTTTTTGGGTTTCATTTCAACAAATATATTGTTGGAAGTATACTAACCACTATTTTGTTGAATCACCTATGATTTTTATAAATTATACAGTGTTATTTTTTTCAGTGCGAAAACCATTGAAGTGCAACAAGTGCAAGCGTGAGGGACATACTGCAAAGTACTGTCAAGTCAATATCTCCGATGTCAATATGATTAGCGTGCGACCAAAAAGTAGTATAATACATTATATTAAAGAAGTAAGAATAAATGAACACGAAGACATAATCCATGGATTGGTGGATACTGGTAGTGCAGTTTCCATCATAAAACGATCAGCTGCTGTGAGATTCGGCCTGGAAATAAATTCAAGAAAAATTGACATGTGGGCATACGGCACGGCCCAGCCAGTGATTAGTTTGGGTGCGACGGAAGGAGTCATATGCATCGATGAGGTACAGGAACGGGTCAAGCTGATAGTGGTGGATGACAATATACAACAACATGAAATTATTATTGGACGATCTTTCATTGAATTGGAAAATGTAACCTTCATCAAAACTAAAGACCAATTGGTGTTCGGCTATGACATGAAGTTTCCTTATCAAGAGTCAGGTATTCCCAGGGAGTCTCCGGAAAAACATGCATTGACAATAACTCATGAGACTGAGACATTGCCAGCAACCAGTGCCAAGGTAGTTGAAGTCACTACAGACAAAGAGACAATTAATGTGATGATCATCAACCATGGGGACGACGAGCTGAACCTGCGGCGAGGTGATCGTGTAGGTGTTGTACGTGAGAGAAGCCAGCCAATGCAAACGACAGAAGTTACAACGGTTCCAATCACTGAGGAAATGGTGCAACGTGGACCTTCGTTCTCACAGGAAGAGGTAAATGATCTTCTTACACTACTGAATAAATATTGTTGCTGTTTTGCATTCAACTTGGGCGAACTGGGTTGTACCACCGAGATACAAATGGATATAGTGGATGATGGTCAACCGGTTGTATGTAAACCATATCGGGCAAGCGCTTCAGAGAGGGAGACCATAAGCCGTATTGTTCGAGAGTGGAAAGAAGCGGGTATTGTCAAAGAAACTAGTTCTCCGTATGCATCCCCAGTGCTACTAGTCAGCAAGAAGGACGGTGAGGCCAGACTAGTGGTAGATTATCGGAAATTGAATTCACAGACGGTACGCAAAGTATTTCCTACACCTAATCTTGATGAACATTTAGAACGACTACAGGGAGCAAAAATGTTTACAACGCTGGACTTGGCGTCGGGTTATCTGCAAGTACCGTTATCAGAATCAGCCAAGGAGAAAACTGCGTTTATAACGCCAAGTGAGTCTGGCCAGTTTGAAAGGATGGTGTTCGGATTAATTAATGCTCCATATGAGTTCTCTCGATTGATGCAACGTGTACTACATCCGCTGAAGGATAAAGTGGCCATGTGGTACCTTGATGATATTCTTGTGCCTTCTACATCAAAATACCAGATATGCTAAACCGATTACAACAAGTACTAGAGGCATTAAAAAGGGGGAAGCTAACACTGAAATTAAGTAAGTGCTATTTTGGCTATCCAGAAGTAGCTTATTTAGATTTCATGTTGTCAGAAAAAGGTGTGCGACCAGGTGATCAAAAGGTAATGGCAGTCAAGGCATTTCCCAAACCAGTTAACAAACATGAAGTCCGGAGGTTTCTTGGTCTATGTGGATTCTTCAGAAGGCTCTCATACCTCATTATGCAGAAAAAGCTCTACCGATTAGTGAACTGTTAAAGGAAGGCGAGCCCTTCGTATGGACTACTGCCCAAGAACAGTCATTTCAAATGTTAAAAGAACATCTTGTGAGCTGACCGGTTCTACAATTATTCCCACTTTATTGGATTTTCATTTGGATTTATGTGTAATGTATGAATATGGATATTATTATAATTCTTTATAATTATTATTTAATGATTAATATTGTTTGATTATTAGCTCGAGAAAGAACTGAATATTTACCTGTTGTTATATAACTGGTTCCTGACATACTTAAAAAATATGTAAAATATTAAATTAAATTAAATTAAACTGTAATATTACAAAAAATATTACTTTGCAATATTAAATATTATATAAAGTATTGGTAATTGTTACAAGAAGTATCAGATAATATTAATGCAAAACCAATCACTTATAGTTAGGTATAATTAATCTCGTTACTTAGATAAATGAACCATTTTGAAGTTACCTTTATGGCTTTGTCATTATTTTGTTGTGATTTAATTCAATGATTCAATGTGGTTAGTAAATATTTACAATAAATTAGTCAATATTGATGTATGTAATGTGTTAGTGCGTCATCAATATGAAGCACTGATAAAATATATTATAAGTCTCCGTTCTGATGATATGTTTCAAAATTATGGGAAACTAAGCAACTAACAATGAAGAATGGTTTGAAAATCTTTACATTTTACAAACGTACAAAAAAAAGGTCAAAACATCTTGATGATATAACTAATACTTATGAAAATGCAATCAATTTAATAGATAGCTTCGAATTCAAAATTAATACATATTTTGTGATTCTATAATAGAAGAATTAATAAGTTAAAAATTAGCTAATTATAATGTCATAACAAAGAACAGTGTTTTTAAGACTTACAAAGTTAAAACCATCAAAAGTGTTTCAGCTGAACATCTGTGCTCTATATATAAAATTGATTTAGTTATTTAGATGTAACATTTATTAACGTATGTGTTCATTTCAGGTTTATGTTCAAAATATTAAAAATCCTCCATTAACTATACTTGTTATGAATAGTACTATATTTTATTTATTTCAATTTAAGATGGAAAATCACAATTTTAAATACTATGAAAAAATCCGCTGGCTGTGGGTTGCCAGTGCCTGATTTACGATATAATGTGAGGTAATTTATAGTACCTAATCAGTATAAAAAACTTGAATTTTAAAAAAAGTCTAAGAAACTTTGGTAAAAACTTTCATGAAAAAATTAATTGATGATGAAATTTTAAAATCCTCTATATTTTATTAGACATCAATTCGATTGAACAATTCCTTATATGATACTGAAAGCAGCCGCATAGCATATAATGCCTTCTGGTGGAAACAGTTGTTGTTCATAAAACTTTTTGTCTTGTAGCAATAGACTATTCGAAGTAGGCAATTTATGAGCATATAATTTTTTCCTGACAACTGTCTCGGGTGCGTCTTTCAGTAAGTCGGTATATACTGGTCCTGGTAAGATCATTTGTAAAGGTTTTACTACTTCCGGGGGCATAGACGAGAACGGTTCCACCAATCCCAGCGATCCACTCAGTGTGGCCACCAGGTACCTAATGTAGATCACACGTTCTAACATTCCCTCCTTGTCATTCATTTTGTCAAGTTTTCTTATCCATGATGACACCTTTTGGCGATCTCTACTGTCTGAAAGAGATACAATTTATTTTATACATTTCTTATTTTATTCTGTGCAAGATATTTGAATATGAGAAGAAAAAACTATTGAGCAAAATAAATAACGGAAATCTGAATCACAGTGGTTTGGTTACAGGAGTAAATGATTAGGTATATAGAATAACATAGTAGCCATACGCTTACATACCAGTGAGTCCTGAACGAGAAGAAAACAAATGAGAGGAATGTTATTGCAAATAATATACTTAAAATTATATCTAATACATTAATTTGTACATTGTAGGTAAAATGTATATTATTTATTTTAACATTTGTAAGACTGAATGCTATATAAATGTAAATGTCAGAATTGAAATTGAAAACAAATAGGCACCAAGCAGACATTAACTTCGTGGCTGTACAGTGTACATAGTACATGTGAAGCAGTGGCTTAGCCAAGAATTTTGTATGAGGAAGGCTGTACCACAAAAAAAATTCCATTAAATATTTATTTTATTTACACTTTTTGTAAATTTATGTTTTTTATTGATTATGCAACAAATTATTTATAAAATATTATTTTTTTTTACTCTCAATGCAGATAGAAGCTGCATATTTTTTGAGCAAAAATAATAGTAAATGGTATATTCGATATCAAATATTATTTAAATAATTATTAACAGTAAGCACATGATTAGGTACGGATAATATGATACTCATTAGTATAACTGTATGAAGTAGGCTCGTATAACCCAAATACACCAATGTGAAATTGAAAACAAATAATTGCACTGATAACTTGAATTTGGAATGCACAAAATTTAAAAATTGGCCTTCCATAAAAATAATGCCCAACAAAATTTAATAGCTATCCATCTATGCCTAATAAATATTTAGGATGTGTTGTCTACTAATGTTGTGCTGCAAATTTCACAAGGGCACCTATCTAAATCGAACCATGATGATTATAAGGTTAGATATTAAAATATTAGCTTCCTGAAATGGAGATTGAAAAAATTGTTTGGTTACAAATGTTTGATATCAGTTACAGTTAGTTACTAAAAAGGTAACTTACATTTTGGGCATGTCTGGAGTCTATGGGAAAAAGTCAGGGGGTTACGTTGAGTTAGGTCCCGGAAATGAAAATTTAGTTTTCTCGGAAACCGTTTGGTTACAAATTGTATAATGTCAGTTACAATTAGTTACTAAAATGTTAATACATTTTGGAAATAGTCTAATATCTAATTGTCATATATTCTATCCAAAATAATAACGCACAGCTTTGGCGAAGTTTAACGACGAGAAGACAACCTAGAATCTAGGTTCTTAACCGGGGGTCCATGGACCCCTTGGGGATCCGTAGATGATTACTCGGGGGTCCACGGAGTAGCTGTGAATTTTTTTTTTAAAAAGCCAAAACTAAATTTGTTTCGATAGTGTTTTCAAGATAACAATAAAAATGTCTTGCCCGCAAATAATTTAGATAACGATAATCTTATATTATGTCATATAAATTATAAACGATAAAGTTATCGGAATCGTAAAATAATATACGGGCATATAATAATATAATCTAACGAGCATTTCAATTGAACATGGAAACCCAATACCCATCACTTCAGTTGACCTGTCGCCGTCGCGTTGTGCATTGTCCGCCTCAACCGTCGTTATAATATTCACTCTAGTTTTCACACCATTTTATTTTTATATTTTTGACATTTTAATAATTATTACAATGTCGAAAAAAAGAAAGTACGATGACTCTTATACGTCGTTTGGTTTTCAAAGTTTTATGTCAAGAAATGGGATCTGAACACGAAGTTCTTCTTTATTACACAGAAGTGCGTTGGCTTTCCAGAGGACAAGTTATGAAACGTTTGTATGAACTTCGAGAAGAAATTTCTTATTTTTTAATAGAAAGGCAAAGTTCACTCTCAAAATATTTTNTTTAACAGACATTTTTAGTCATTTGAACGAAGTAAATATATCGATTCAAGGAAAAGAAGTAACAATTATGGACGCGTCCGAAAAAATAAACGCATTTGTTAGTAAAATTTCCCTGTGGAAAAGAAGACTTCAATCAGAAAATTTACCGAACTTTCCAACACTTGAACAGGAGCTATCAACAAATAATATTGCTTTGTCCAGTTCCATGAAAACGCAAATTTGTGAACATCTTGATGTGCTCGAAAATTCATTTGGCAATTATTTCGATTTTACATTTTCGAAATCAGAAATATGGTTACGCAATCCTTTTCTTGTGGACTTAAATACAATTGATGATTCAGATCTCGTTAAAGATGAACTAATTGATTTAAGATCAAAAGAAATGGCACGCCACGACTTTCAAACAAAAAATCTAATCGAATTTTGGTGTTCGTTGACGATGGCTTATCCACGAGCTGTATCCAGGGCAATGAAATTTTTGATTCCATTCGCTACTACCTATCTTTGTGAGTCTGGATTTTCCACAATGGTCACAATTAAAACTAAATCAAGAAATCGATTGGACATTAAGGACGATATGCGCGTTGCTCTGTCAAATACGGTCCCAGATTTCAAGGCAATATTGCAATCAAAACAACAACAAATGTCACATTAGAAATTTTATTTGACTATAAGAAAGTGATTATTCATAATAATCTAATATAGATTTCGTTATTAGTAGTATTATGTATTAGATTTATCATTAAAAAATAATAAAAATAAAAATTTCATTTTTACATTTATTTAAATATTATTATTATTTTTTTTTTTTTGGTGGGGGGTCCGTGATTATATTTTATATTTCAAAGGGGTCCATGGACCAGAAAAGGTTAAGAATCTATGAATCCTAGATGAATATAATGTGTGATTGGTCGCCATTCATCGGCTGTCGACGACGTCACTATAGCCGCCGCTGCCTGTGATGGGAATACATGAGTGCATTTCAACCGATTTTCGTCAACTGCCTAGTTTTTATTCTGGATAAAATATAGCCGATAGGACAACCTTATACACGTAATTTTTGTGTACTGGATTTCTTTAAATTTATTTTCTAGTCACAATATTATTTATAGAAAAAAATAATCATTACACGAATGTTAATTATTTACCTATTAAATACATCAAAGTTTTCGCCGTTTCTCGATCAGAACAATATAGTTGATTGTTGTTTTTCAACGGACATGCGGGTGAGGCTTCTTCTTCAAGAAATTTTTTCAACGAATCTACATTATCGAAATCCGCCTTGGATGAATTTGCGGGTTCACTAGGTTTAGCAGCGGATTCACTAGGTTTAGCAGCGGATGTTCCGGCTTCGTTTTCTTTTGGTTTTTCTGTTTAAAAATGAAACCAGCATTTTATTTTCAGTATTAATGGTTAATGTGTTTAAATTACCTGTAATAGGTCCCTCGTTTTTCTTTTTAGGATCAGCAGTTTGTACATCACCATCGTTTTTACTATCCATATTTAGTTCGTGTTTTTAAAATAGGTAATTATTTTTAAGATTTTAAATAATTTAGTCACTTTCGAATATTTAGATGTTTATATTGTAAACAATGAAACTGCTTGCTGTAGTTACAACATAATTCTGGCTAGAATCAAAATGGTTTATATATGATAAGACACTAAACAGTATGCGCTTATTTTATTGCAGAAATATAAAATTATAAAAAAATTAATTCCTCTATCCGAAACGACCTGCAATAATATGGCCGAGTTAATTATAGTATATTATCTATATTATATAATGTGAAATAGTATATTATGGTAATATTAAATATTTCCATAATACATAAACTTGAATCAAAGTCAATAGATGGCTAATTACGACAAGCGATACGGAATGTGAGACGATACAATACACAATATACATTACACATATACATACGCATTATATTGAACTTAAATGCTTCATCATATTGTTATTTTTTTAATAAAGTTGTTCGAATACTGAACGGTTGTCGCACAGCGCAAGCTCAAAACCGGTTTGTTTCGCCGCGCTTCCGGCGTCGAAGCTTTAGAGCAAAGGTTCCCAAAGTGGTCTATATCAACCCCCTGGGGTCGATTCTGAACTGAAAGGGGTCCATGTCAACGAAAAAGAAAATTGTGGGGTGCATAATATGTAAATAAGGGTCCACGAGACTTAAAATTTTTAAAGAAACAATATTAACAATTTTTACGAAAAATATGTGTGCGACCATGCGAACGATATCGATTATTATAACAAACATTGTCAATAACGACTAACGGAGTCGAAGGTGAATATCGGAATCTTAAGATAAGATTAAATTACACATTACACATTCAACTGTACAATTTTAAGTCTCACTAATAACTAATAAGTACGATAAGAATGATACGATAAACATGATATTGGTCAAGATGGATGTTTGGAATATGTATTACTGTACGTTTAGTAAGTCAGTTCATCCGTGACAGTCGATTACTGATGCTACGTCGTTTGCCATTTTTCAAAGTTTTACTAATTCATAAATTGGTTAGTTTTTGTACAAATATAACTGCTATTAATTATGGCTAAATCTAAAAAGAAATGTAGGCAATATAGCATTGATTATTTGAAGTTCGGCTTTATGAAGCAGAACATTGGACAACGTGGATTTTCTCAGTTTCCCAAATTGTCACATATGAACTGTCAGGATGATGACGTTTCGGTCTACGTTCAACATTTAAATGTCCTTGACGCTGATTTTAAAATCAGATTTAAGGATATTTTGACAATGGAAATACCACAGTGGATTATTAATGCATTTCCTATCGTTTTAATTATAAAAAAAATATTTGAATATTGTCGTTATTAAAGAAATAAAGGTATTATTAAAAACAACACGATTTTTATTTTAAAAATTGCACTTCATAGTCAAGTTTATTCAAGTAAACAATTCCATGTAAGCTATAAAAACACGTAGATGAATTTGTAAAAAATCAATTTTAGGGGTCTACGAAAATCGAGAAAATTGGTAAGTGGTCTACGGGGAAAAATAGTTTTGGAACCTCTGCTCTAGAGCATCCTCCGGCCCCTTCTTATCGCCACTGGCTGTCACCGTTCGCGAATATGATCGAGTTCGGGTCCTGTTGTTTTTGTGGGGTCGAGTTGGAAAACTCGACGAAACTCCTCGTCCCTCGCCGCCTCAAGATTGGTTTTGCTTGCAATCGGCCTACGTGCCAATGTGCCATTGTTTGGTTACATTTGGTGTACCTTTTTTTGTGTGCATACAATCCATCTCTATACAGTCCAGCCAGCAACGAACACGTCGTGTGTGGCCTAACTTTGGAGAAAGTTCCAACCATGTCTACAGGTGTTAGAGTGTGGAGTGGAGTGGTTGTGCAGTAAACGCTGCCCAGATGCTGCAGCCAGGTCATCTTTTATACTTTGATATTTCATTTGATTTATTGCGCGATCAGTTTCGATCGCTTAGTTGTTAATATATAACCTCGGGCGCCCACATTATTTAAGTATATAAAATATATGAAATATATGTCTTTATAAAGTATGTATTAAGATAGTTCTGTAATCATTATTGGGTTACCGTACGTCCTATACACCGCAAGTATCAGCGTAGAACAAAAATAGTTTGTAGTATTAACACAACTGACCTCATAACTTACAAGCTTACATTTTATTTAACAAATAAATAAATGATATATAATATGTTATATTAAAGTCTAAAAGTACCTAATACAATCGAAGTCATAACAATAAACAAGTAGGTATCTACGCTTCTTTATAACTCAAAGAACATAAGCACTTAATGAGTTTAGCTCATTGACACTAAACAATATGTTGTTCAAAAATCGTTTCGATCACTAGCGTTTTAGCAATAACTTTGTTCATAGGACGCCTCGACACAGATTACACAGTAATAATATTTTTATTACTCTATATGGGTTTTAAGCAAGTGATAAGAGATTATACGCATCTATGTACAAAGCGATTATGTTGTGTAAGATACTGTTTAAGATATACCTTGATAGCTGCGGTCAGAACGCGTTACGGGCTAAGTGTACAATTTCACCACATTTGTAGAATGCTAGTAGTAAGTAGGGCCATTACTAATATTACAGTTGTATAAATATAAAAAGTTTAATGTATTTCATATTTAAATAAGCATTAGAATTACGAAAAGTATTTATATTGAACTTGTCAAAGTTCAGATTTTGTTTTGTTTATATTCCTTTTAATTTTGGTTAAATATTTTACCATAGTGATTAGTGAATCATTTGCCACCTTTATGCTTGACTAACTTAAAATGAAATGGAGGATTGGCTCATCATAATAGATGTTGGTTTCAATTTATGTACAAAGTAGAAGAATAATTTTCTAATAACACTATTAACATTGCAATCAAAAAAATGTATCGCTACCTACGCCCAAACAACTCATATCTCCAATTTTATCAAAAACAATGTTTTGATTCTATAATATTTTGAATCTCCTTGCGGTTTTAACTTATAATAACTATAATATTGATAATATCACGTTTTCCCTTCAGAGATCCATAGGATTAAAGAATCCAATCATGGTAGGCCTAATCAAAAATCAAAATTAATGCAAAATAAAAGTGACGGTGAAACAATTCAAAATGGTGAAAGTTATATTCCTACAACAAAAGATTTAAGGGAATCGCATCTTGAGGAATGGGTTGAAGGTCTACTTAAAAAGCCGTCACATTATTGCCTTGTACGATAAAGCCAATGAAAAAATGAACCTGACCAATCTTCTTGAATTATTACCATATTTTTTTTACCATTTATTTTCGTGTTTCCAGTATTTATAATAACTATTTATTTTTCATCACCTCAACTATTTACTCTCGTATTAATATTTACCCTAAGTTCCTACACCCCTTTTTCACTTTAATATTAACATACTGTACACTATCGGTCGTGGAAAGTGATGATACTTCGTAAATGCATTTAGGCGTACACCAGCGATCGTTCGTGAGCCATCGAATTGCATGACTGCCATATATGGTGATCGGGGGGAGGGGGGCTTACGGGGACTTAGCCCCCCCCCCAAATAAATAATTTGAAGTTAAAGCCCCCTTAAAAATGTAAGAAACAAAAACATACTTTTATACAGATTACAGAATGTATTAGGGATAATTTATTATTATTATTATTAATTAAATACCTAAACTGTAAAAAATAAGAATTTTACATCAAATTTATATGTAAATTTGTTTTTCTTTGGATCCAAAAACTATATTTAATAATTAATAAAGACTAGTATCACACATAAACGTGCTAAACGCTAAACGTCATACTAGGTATATCTATTCTGTGTATTAATCGAGTGTATTTTCTATTTGGCTACATTGCTACAATAATATACAATAACATATTATACGGTTCTATAAATAGATGGGAAAAATATTATTTCATTTCTTACTGTTGTTATTTCACGAGAAACAATAATAACTAGGCTGATGCCTGATATAGTGAGCTATTCCGGCTATTATATACATTGAAAAAGATAAAACTAAATCGTTACTAAATGACACTATTTTAAATATATTTGAAAAAAAGTGTAATAGGTTAATACAATTAAGTTAAAAATGGCAATTGTATTTTATTCATTTTTCCTTTTTTGTGAGTATTCTAATTAGTAGGTATAATAATGAAATTTTTTAAATATTTTAATGAGTTATTAAATATAAAAAAAGTGTTGGGGGTGTGGGGGCAAAGCCCCCACGGGTTTGTTTGCTATCAACTATTTGAGCCCCCCTCAATATTTCAAAGGATCTCCGCCTATGATGACTGCTCTAATCACAAATCCTTAAGCCCCTCACAAATTGTTTGTCCTTCGGGGCGGATCGTTCTCGTAATCATTGTCTTTCGTATCAATTTGTTTTTTTATTAATTTAATGTTGGTGTATTCAAATTACTAATATTTGCTGATAATAGTAATACGGCCGAAAATTAATAAAAATAATTCCGAAGCATCCGAGCAACCATTGGAATGGGCTCGAATTGCACGGAACGGCGCTTAAAAATCAATATCTCATATTTTGTGAGTCGCAAAGTTAGCTATGAGCGATTCCGTGAAACTGGAACAATTATCCTCATGTATAAAACAGTGAGATAATCTTTTCTCGCGTTTTTAAGCCGAACTAACTGTCATTTTTAATTCATTGGTTATTCTAGGTCATTCCGATGGGTACGAATTGGTTAATTTGCCAGTAACGGACATTATTGAAACCGTTGTTGACGAAATCTATGAAATAGTCGATTGCACGTCGAATGTAACCGTGGCTATACAAACAGTGCTTATTCGACAATCGTTCAACGCGCTAAATTCCATTTAGTCATATTCTTAATCAAGTAAGATATGTAATTTATGTACATACCTGCTAACCTGTGAACATTACCTTCGACAAATTGGCTGAGTCGTAAATGAGTTCAAAGCTTATGTTCCTGGTCATGATTAGGTGTTAAACTTTCTAATATGATATCCCCAACTAGCAAAAAGTTTTACTGATAACATAAAAAAAAATCACGTGTGGGAATAATTAAAGACGATTTATTTCAGTATATATCATTCTTATCTATAGAATTGGTAGAAGATCATCCAAGTCATATTTTTAACTTTGACGAGACTAATCTCGTAGACGATCACAAAAATATGTTCTTAGAGAAGAAGAAGGCAGATTAGACAGAAAAAAACCTGGTGGTAACAGAAAAATAATAAATTTACCCGCTAGAAAAAGTATTACAACAATAAATTTAGCTTCATAACCATGTACCTCCAATGCTTCTCACCCACAAGATAGAGGATAATAGCAAGAAATAATATTTAAAGATGAATCAGAAGGCGAAAACTGGGAGATTTGCCGATAAAGATCTTTGGCAAAATAAAAAAAAAAGAAGAAGTTATGGCTCAGCAAAGAGATTACCGTAACAAAGTTTAAGCTGGTAGTTAAATCTATAAGCTCATATTGTATTAAAACATTAGAAAATGAATATTATCCGGGTGTCATTTTAGAGTTGAGCAATGATTCAGGCAAGATAAAATCCATGAAAAAATCAAACTCTTATTGGAAGTGGCTTTATGTATTAGAGTATTATTATTTAGCAATTATATTATGATACAAAATATCATCCTACCATATTCATAATTCATACATCATTATATTGTATTTTAGTATAAAATATTTTCTAGTTCATTATCTATTATAGTTGGATTTCACAAAATATTTGAGTTAAAATGTATTTAAATATAGGGTGGGAGACTAACAAAAATATAATTAATAATTGAAATGTAAGTATCAATAACACTTTGAGGTATTGACTAATGATTCATTATAAATGACTTACTATTTACTGTACATTTGTGAATGCAATAGGTATTACAAGATTAAAAACAGTAATAGTAATTATAAAATTGATAAAATTGAAAAACTTACATTTTTTGTTTGTTTTAATTTATATTGATCTAATAATGTTGACAATAACATTGTGCCTTCTAACAAAACAATTAAATAAAACGCTTGTATACATAAGTGACTTAACTTTAATTATTTTAAACATAGAGAGAGTGTGAACTATAGGAGTGCCTTCATGAGTACACACTACATGCAACTACACTAGGTATACAATATTGTCAATACTTGTTGTAGAATGAAGTATGGATAAAGTACTAATATAGTACCTACATCCCTAGGTATGTTGGGACTAAAGGAAGTCATTTTGTTTGAAATTGTATATTCTTAGTAAGTAGAATCAAGTTGTCTAGATGTGTAATATTTATACAATCAAAAATATTGCAAAATAAGAATAAATGTTGTATTATGAACGAGCTTCCAACTATCATGGATTAAGGATAAAAATTTTGTTTCATTATTTGTTGAACAGATGTGGGATATTCTTCTTTTAAATACCAACCTCCTAAGCCTAATGTGGTAATTAGTAAAGGATCACTATGTATTCCTTTGCCATAGTTTGTATTTATTGCTATGGAAACAATGTATGTAGTATAAGGCTCAAGATTTGTTAATAATGTAAAACCTCCGTCTTTTTGTGCCGCTTCTCTGGTCATTGTTTTAGACAACATGGATCCTATAATATAAAATAGATTTCTAATTATTATACATTTTCATAATTAGATACTAAATATCCATACATTTATAAATATTAAATAAAACAACTAGGTAGATCGTATTTATCTAAACACCTAATATGCAAACAAAAATCACACATCATTAACCGTTTACAGCAACTATTATATAATATTTTATTATGTCTTATCACTAACTATGGATATAAATAATACACCTTTTTAAATACAAATGCTATTAAAATTAAACTAAATTACAAAATATAAAATATGTACTCATTGTTTCTACTTAATCTCTAGGTATCATTAGTCGTATCAGTATTTTCAACCAATTTACTTTTCATACCAATACTCCATCTCAAAAGATAATAATCAATCGGCCCACCGATTTTTTTCAGTGCTGCGCATCCCCTACAAACAACCTGATGTTAGAGTGATCATGTGCCAATCACATCATTCACGATGCTCAAAAAGTGATTGTTCTTTTTTTAGACTGAGTTTATATCTAAATACTTCGGTTTGCATGTATAGATTAGGTATGAATATGAAATAATTATAATGCTACATTTTTAATGATAAAATTTTTAATTTCACATAAGTTCTTTGTGGAATCATTAAATATTGTGTGTGAACTAAAGCAATACGCACAAATAATTATTACTGATATTTTTTACCCAATCTTTTCAGTGATTGAAAATTAAATTATCTTAATCTAACAATATTGTTGTTATTGTTGCATTAAATCATTAATAAGAAATATTCTTACCGTTGCAAATGTAATTTTTTGTGGCAGCAACAGCACAATAAAATATTTGATATTCACCAACTAAACCGATTCTATCAGTACACTCAATATTCCATCTCAAGCCAATAAACGTCGAGCTGATCACACTAACCCAAACGTTCTCAACTTTTCTTGCAGCTACACAATTATAAACAGATAAATTCAAAATGAACATTGACAAATTATACAATGCAATCCAACCAAAAAAAAAAAAAAAAATAGAGATTCATACTTATATTATTTTGTATTGTACATGATTCCCACACCATTCCACTACTGTTACAATTGGTTTGATGATAACTATTGGTTCCATTACTTACTAAACGTCGACTGTTAGCACTTATTGCAAATTGATAATGTTTTTTAACATTATAATTAAATATAGTGACATTGCAGCGATATTCTGAACTAGGGACATGCGTCCAGTTCATATAACCCTGCAAAACACATCACACTCAGTTAAATATCAGTAAAGTTGGTTCATTCCGATGGATCTTAGATGTATATCCAGGATGATTAGTTTGGATAATTTGAGAGAAAAGGTATGAAAACAAACTTTTAATGGAAGACTGCTGAAAGATTTGAACTATGAACAGCTGTGTGTTGGTTTAGTGCTAGTGAGATTTATATGCCACCTATATACATTTTTCCAAAAAAAAGGATGAAGATGAACATTTTAAATGGAGCTGCTCCAAAAACGTTAGGAATATTATCTGCTTCTCTATACATAAATTTAGATGTTTTTTTGGGTAGCTTGAGCATTTCAAACAGCATGCGAAACCTTCTTTAGACTCAACAGCTCTTTTGATTTTAAATAATCATAGTTCTCATGTTCATTTAAAGACTGTTACTTTCTGCAGGAATAATAATTATATTCATTTACTTAGTATACCACAACATAAAAGCTACCGTTATATCATAATATTGATAATCTTTCTTTGGTTATACCTACAACTGTACTATATACTTGTTAAATTAGGTGTATTTTAAAATTTTTAATTTGTTTTATTACGAAAAAAGTTTATTTTTTATTCTAACAATGTACTCGTAGTATTGTACGATTTGAACACATTTTATAAAAAAGTGCACCATCTTACCACAATATACTCTACATTGTATATCAATTATACCGAAATCGTAATAAACCTTTTATAGAAACATAGCTCGTCATTTGAAAATAAAATCTTAAAAATAAACCAAGATAAAATTAGTGTTTTTATAAGCAGCACGAATTCAATAGAATGGTATTTTTCAAAACTAAATTTCTGCCACAACGTGTGTATTAATTGTGATCAAAAAATTATTTTAATTGAATTTACGTACATCACACTGATATGGATGACGACTAACATTTTCACACCAAAATAATGTGTAGTAATTCAGTTCATCGGCAGTGGACAATTTCGTATTGACGGCATTTTTCCAGGAAAGTTCAAAAACACCTTCTTGATCAAATACCATTTTTGTCAGTAATGTTGGTTTTTCAACCCCTAATAACAATAAAATACTATTTAAAAAATTCTGATCAACATTGGTACATTTATCGAATTCTTACTCTGTGATTCACTAGGTACGTATATTGTTGAGTACTCCGTTGACAAACCTTCTTTGTTGGATGAATAGACTGTAAAATTGTAACTAACCGAAGTACTGAGCTCTTTAAATTTGGCATAATTATCAAATATCTCATCACTAAAGTGAATACTAAATTTTTATAAACAATAACAGTATCAATTTTAACGATTGAATAAGAAAAATTGTTTTAATAAAATTAAAAGAATAAATAAATAAATGGCACTTACGTGGTCTCATTTTGTTCTGTAGTTGAAGTATAGTAAGCACGGTACTCAAACGAATCACCACATTTCTCGCTATCATCAATTTTTTGCCAATAAATGAAAACGTTTCTTTTGGATTTGTCGATTCGTGAAGGAAGACTCTCAAAGCTCCCAACATCAGTTCTTGGCGGTCTTCTTGGTACTATGAATCATATGATGAATTATAAAAATGTTATTCATTTGTGTTGTATTGAATTTGTTTTAGAGGATAGTAATAGTATATTTATTTATTATATGGGTACATCTTACGCTTTCATTTTAGCAACCCGATATCACTTTTTCGTCTATAATATAGACAAATTTTAATAAGCCATTAAGTATTAACTCACTAGAAGGTTTGGTTTTCAGAGTTATACAACCAGGAGGTGACCACTTATCCTCCCCGCGGGCGAGTGAAGAACGTACGTATATGCAAACATCGTAATGTGCAAACGGATATTTTAGATCAGTGACATTAAAATAATAATAATCATTATCACGTTCTTGGCAATTCATAGTATACAGAAATGAATTTGTTTTATTGGACGGCAATGACATACTGCAATGCACGTCACTTGTATTTACAGACTGTAAAAAAATTGAAACCATCATATCGTTTTTATTTTCATTCTTGGTTTTTCAACACTCACATGCCAATGTTTAAGATCGGAGTCCCATTGTGACTTATATTCGATCTTATGAATTAGTTCCCGTGGAAAGTTTGTCATAGTGCCCACTGACCACCTAAACATGGCACTTGATTCTGTTTTATCCACCACGGTGATATTTATAGGGCTCGCGGGAATTACTGAATATAAAAGAATATTAATTAACGTTTATAACACTTTGATCATAAAGTAAATTATGATTTTTGTATATAAATATACTATTGGCGTAATGATGAAAGTTGAAAAATGTAGATGAATTTCCTAACACATTTTGGCCATTTAATCTGAAATCGTAAAACTCATAAGGTTGTCTATATATGGGAGTAGTATCGAAATCCCAATAGCAAGTATTCTCTCTGATATCTGAATCCGTCGGACAATTTATGAATATTCTATTTATAAAAAAAAAGTTATACACAATAAATGAAAAATATTATTAATAGCTCTAATACATTACCTGCCTCCAGCACGACCAGGTAATCTGAATAATAACGAATAAGTGGTTTTGATTGGATTCTCTGACGTGTTCCAATTGCATCTCAAACTAACCCAATTGTCAGAAATACATGTAAAATTTCTTATGATGGCAGGTTTATCTAGGCAAATATAACCGTTAAATGGTTTTTATTTTAAATTCTTATTAAAACGACATATGCTTCAATTCTTATGAAAGGGGATATCTTTATATGTATTTTTTCAATACAACACATAGCAAATATTGATAAATATGTTCGAAAAAGTCAACCTGGTTATGATAGTTTGTATATGTTAGGTTAGGCAATTTGAAAGACTGTGTATAAACCAATTTTTGTTACTCATCGTACTGCCTATTTAAGAATCAAGTGTAGAAAAGCAGACAGACTATGTAATTCCAAACGCCATGCTTCTAAATCTTGTTCAAATAAATAGATAATAATAAAATTATAATATATTATAAAAATGAAATTATGATACTTGTTAATTTTTTTTTTTATTCCATCAAAGTATTCGTATAATATTATGATACATCAGAAAAAAATTAATAATGATCGTTTTAAAAAAATATCAATACTATAAATAGCCAATAATTATAATTCATAATAAAAATAAAAACTTATATTAGTTGGTTCAAAAAAAAATTCGAGGTTTACATTGCCCAGGCAGGACCACATTGCTCGGTGTTCCACACTACCCATAATAAATACAATTAGATCGTACGTTAATTTTTTTAATTATAAAATGCCCAGATTATATTATCCTGGTCAAAATATTACTGTAGATGAGGGGGCATGTCTTTTCGTGGTCGAGTTCATTTTAGGGTGTACATGAAAAATAAACCCGAAAATATGCCATGAAACTGTTAATTGCTTCTGACCCTATTACAGGATAAACATTAAATTTCGAGATTTATTCTGCAAAGAGAGATGCAAATAATTTAATTATACCTTTATATAGTCGTTCATTAAAACAGTATTTTAAGAAAGGCCATATAATTTATATGGATAGATTTTATACTAGACCTAAGGTGTTAGAATATCTTTGGGATATTAAAATAAAACAAATGCTGTAGGAACTGTTATGGTAAATCGTAGAAGACTTCCGAAATATACAGTAATTAACATACAATTAGGAAAGGATGAAATGGTTTTTGATAGGGATGGCCCAAAAATTTGTTTAAAATGGAAAGACAGGGGATGTTCCTATTATGTTAACATGCCACTCGGCTGACATGGCATCTGTAACTGCAAAAGCTAAAGAGAACCCGTACAAATATTTGAAAACTTGGCCATCGTCGATTATGATAAGGTATAATACAGGAGTTCATCACGGAGACCAAATGATTACATACTATAAATTAAAACGTAGTTTTTTTATTTATTTAAAGTTAGTACTGTTAATAGTTGTATAATATATAAACATTATGATGCACAAAATAAAAACATCCATTCTAAATCTCGGCAAATAAATGACCGAGAAAGCGGGTAAAGTAATTGACACAGGGACAGGATATGAAACAAATAATGTCGATGAGCTTATTGGGAGACATTTTTTAATAAAATTTTACCCACTCCAAAAAAATCTAATCCTTGTAGAACGTGTAAAGTATGCACAAAAAAAATCAAAACAGGGTTATTAGATAGAGGTAAAAAAGAAACCAATTTGTAATGTACCCCTTTCCATTGATAATTGTTTTGAAATATATCACACTAAAAAGCAATATTGGTAATAATAAAATGATACTACATTGCATTGACTTTTTATTTTTTTTTAGTTTGATTGTTTATTTAGATTTGATTCACTTTTACTTAAAATTATTTTGTAAACGCAATTATGTATTTTTAAAAATATTTTTTAGAAACGGTTTGATTTATTATTATTTTTATTACTTTTTTGTTGAAGAATTGTTATTTTTAAGAAAGGTGATATGTTTATTGATATTTTAACTATCATAACTGTTTTTATATTTTATTTACAAATATTTAAATTAATATGTGATCATTTTTATAATTATTATAAAATTATAAATATTAAGTGTGTACAAAGAATTAATAAAAATTTACTTTTTTTTGATTTCTGTGCCAACATGTACTTATAATAAAAATTGCTATATCATATCGACTTTTCGATTTGTTCTCTCAAACTGTTGAAATTATGTGTATATTACTATTATTGGTTTTTACAGTATATTTATTTTTAGAATTATTTTTTGATCTATACTCGGAGAATTTGACGAAAAAAACAATTGAATCAGATTATTCAATGCCAAGTAAACAACTAGAGAAAATACCATAAAATATCCGGCCTATAAAAGAAACAATTAGCGGGAAATGACCGTCTGTATGTATTTTACACACATGCCGCGTTAAACGTTGCTCTCGTCCCCAACGTAGTAACTAATTATTGATAGTCCACTTTATCTCAAACAGAGGACCGTGTCTAACTCCTGTTATGATTTATTTATTATAATGTATAGTTATAATAAAATCTATTTGAATGTTCTGGTTAACTTACATCCTACATAGACTCTATTCAAACACACCCTGACTTGTGATCCCAGTTGATGAGATCCATTCGTTTCTGAGCCATAAGCTAAATCTTGTACAGTGGGCAACATGGACGAACCGTTAAATGACATAATATATGAGTGATCACCGCTGGAATTAATATAACTTTCGTTTTGACGCCGTTCATAATCAAGTAATAGTGTGCAATAATAGGTATCTTGGCCAGCTGGGGGGTTTGGGATGCGGAGTTGAGCCGATGTTGCGTTGACGATTGTCACGTATTGTCTGGGTACAATTTCGGCGTTTTTATAAAACACGATCCTGTGGCTTGGATATTTGGTTTTATTACTACTGTCCGTTCGATCACGAAACAAGTTCTGCACTATTATGGTATCAGATTGCAAGGTGCAAGTGATTTCCAAAGGAACTCCACTGCCATACTCTAGGAAGATGTCACCGCTTGGGACCGTTCCTAAAATTGTTACAATAATATACACAAGAGTGTTATTGATTACTTATCACAAAACTTTTACTAGCTATATAAATATATGTAAATACATTCATTTTTTAATAATCAGGTGAACTTTTTTAGTTGACCAAAAAAAAAAAATGTTTCAACTGAAGAAAATCATACAAAAATATGTTAAATATATTTAAATGTTAATGAATAGTGTCAACACTAATATTGTATTTAGTGGATAAAATATTTAGATTAGAAGTCTGAATATAATAGTATCAAGACAAATTGATAATTTCATAGTTTTCTATGGTAATTTAATATATTATTACCTACCTGATACACAATTTTTATGTTTTCAAAGATGGCTAAATATTAAAATTTAAAACAATCAACCCTACAAGAATTATTGAAGAAAAATAAATGGTTCTTGAAGATACTATCATGCATAGAAACTATTATTTAATCAACGATACAATTTATATATATTTTTTTTTGAAATGCCTGAGCAATAAATCTCCACTAAAAACTTTGATGATATTTTACTGAATAAATTTCCGTTTCAACTAAAAAAGATTAATATAAAAAATACAATTAATAAACATTTAATAATACTGCAGTTTCTTACCTCCAACAGACTTTATACCGTTGCCACATGATACTGACGAATAGGCTAAATCAACTAGAAACGTCATTAATATTAACGTGGTCCATAGTATTGTAATTGATGACAAACTGCGTCGATTTATTGTTGTAGATAGTGGTCGAACCATTTTTGTATCAGCAACCATTATTCAAGATCGATTACTATAAGTAATTACCGTTAACTGGCAATACACCTGTAATAAATGTAATTAAAATTATAGAGATTCAAAAAAAAAATGTTAAATGTTAAAATGTGTGATCCTGTGAACACGTCTAGAGATGCGAAGTGATCTTAATTTGACGGTGGAGGTATCCACCACTTTGTTTTTTAATGTAACTGTTTTATATAACAGCAGCGGCGTTGTCTGTTCCAGTATTATTCAAATTATATTTTATCATGTATATATTTTTTTTTTGGATTAAGACTTCAACTACTAAGGTCCTTAGCCTGGTACTGTGTGTGGGGGACGGTTGGTTGGAACACGTTTGTATGTGTGGCAAGAATGTGTTGCTAAAAACCTGGATGGTCACCCATCCGAGTGCTAGCAACGACAGCCGGTACGCACGTTCAGAGCGTTGCCGCAGATTGAGAGTACGACAGCGCCTCACCAAGCCACATTTTATTAGATATACAAGCGAACAATTAAAAATTATAAAAAATTTCTTCTAAGGTTTCACTTTTGTTTAAAAAACACCCAGAAGACATGTTGTTAGCTGAATTCGTGGGCAAATATCTGTATATCTAAAAAAATCAGGCTTCAAAGATCCACAAATAAGTAACAATGAGGTGTGTTATATGGTAACAATAATTTCAAAATCAATTGTTTCACAACCCTGCAGCATGAGTTGTGTACTTAATTTTGTAGAATTTTGTAAAACCAAAACAATTTCTCAAAATTAAATTTCACCTTAAGGGGGTAACTATACCCATGCACCAGGATCCGTTACTTTTAACAGTATTTAGGTGGGTCAAGTTCAGGTAACCCGACCGCTTTGTCCGATCTTCTCCAAACATACACGAGTTGTTACTAAATAGTTAGCAAATAATAACAAATCAAAATTGTATTATTGGAGAATTTTTTAGCTGTTCCTCCAGTCCATACACCCGGAGGTACTCAATATGGTTAGTTTAAATTTCTCCAGCAAATGCATAATAAAATGTAGCAATCATTGAATGGCTCCCAAATTTTGGTATAAATGAAGCTGACCATTGAATTTGGTCCCGAAAAATTTGTATTTAAATTGGCTCCCAAAAATGTAAAATATTATTTAACAAGGGGTTCTCATATTATTTTACGACTTCTACTGTGTCATTGGCCCTTTGCATTCAAGTATAGTCTAGCACTGGATGCCTAAATATACTATTATATGTACATATATATATACATATATATATTTATTGAATTTAGTCTTATCATTTTAATCGTCCTAATCTACTAAATAGATCGATATTCATTGATTTCTATACACTACTTTTATTTTGTTGTTAATATTTTATGACCACGATAACCATGTATTACTTTATAAGTAGATATACGCTGTATTCCATTGAATTCGTAAAACATATCCTAGTGACAAAATTTGAAGTGAAAAGGGAAAATAAATTTTAGCAATTAATAAAATACAAATTTAGTTTCGAAAAATTCCTCTGAAATGGGTTACAACGATACAAATTTTCTAATGCGGATGCATTGCAAATTTAAAAGTATTACACAACGAGGGTATCTTGTGAAAATCATGTAATATACATAACAACATAAAATTAAATAAAATATAACTCCAAATATTAAGCAATACTTTGAAACGTAAGGCCACTGAACATAAGTGTGAAAGCCCTCCAAGATATCGCATTCATTTTTATGGAAGAATAATACAAATGCAATAGTAACTAAAGATGTGAAACAATGTATACATTATATTATATATATATTTTTGTACAATATATTTCAAGCTCGAGCTTGCTGAGTCCGAATTTGTCTCTTAGTAGACATGAGACGTATGATATTTATACAGATTCCGACCAAGCCTTTCACTCTACCACTTACTATGCGGTCTATGGTAGATTAAATATCATAAAAAATTCTCTGTGAGGCTGTGGTGGCTTGTCAGGGGAGGCAAGTGAGGCGCAGCTTTACCTAACTATTGTAAAGGAAAAGGAGGTATATGTACTATAATTATAGTTCTTTCCAATCGACTTTAAGAATATTATATTCAAATATTCAATAATATAATCTACATTTTAAAATATAAAAGCTTTTTGTTACTATATTATATTATTATAATAACAAAACAAATTTATTTTGTAGTGTATAATATTAGTTATCATAGTACTTAATACATCACTGTTATCAAAAATCACGACGAAGAGGTTATTTGAATGATAGAACGATCTCGACGAAAACCGAAGAGTGCCGAGAGGCTAGTAATATTTAGCCTCAAACGTGTTGGACGGCCGTATGATTATAAAATATATCATGGTAGAAAGGGAAGTCGGAATTTTATTATGAAATGAGGCTAAACGATTCGGTTCTCAGAGTTTGTCAACATTATTCATTAGCTATTTGTTGAACCGATATAACTTCCACTAATAGAAATAGGAACTGTGAGGTTGTCATATCGTGTAATGTAAGACAAGTGTATACATATTACCTACCCACAATACTTTTATAACAAATTAAAAATATCGGTTCTTATCAAGCAATAACAATTAAAATTTAACATAATAATTAATAACTTATTTTATACATATGTACATGTTATATATATGTATTTTTAGTTGACTTTATTTTGATATTTAAGATAAATATTAAATATGATAATATGGTTTATTATTTATATGTTCTTAAAGGTTAGAATCAAATATTAATTTAATTATTATAAAATTTAACTTGAAACTCATTTTAATATTTTAATAGTATATTTCTCCAATATATTTTGAAAAAATACATATCTGCCAAGCAGATTCTGCCTCACCCCTCATACGGTTCGTATGGTATGGAGCACAGGAGAACATGAACCACCCAAAAAAATAAAAATATTTAAAAAATAATTAGATTCCTAAGGTAATATATTATATACTAATATATAATTGATTATTAGGCACATGGTCTGTAAATAAATTTTTTTTCAGTTTTTCATTTTGAGAAGTGTGTCTTTATAGATTAAATAATTCGCGGAGCACAAATAGTCTGTGCTCCGGGCGGCCATGTAAATATTAGCTATATGTCTCGACGCGTCGTTTAGTAATAATATATAGTAGTTTGGAGCACATTTAATGTCATTTATATTGATTTTTATCAAATCACGTTGTCGCGTCGATCGTCGAAACGATAACACTACATTATCGAATTATCATTATCTGTTAATTGCGCTAGTGTGCTCTCAAGATCAACTATTAACTACCTACTATTAATACCATCAATATAATATAAAAACAGATTAAAAATTGACATATTCCTATGAATTTTTCAAATGAATGTTCAGAAAATTAATATTTTTACCATCTTACACAGGTATTTTATACATTTCTTGTGCACCACCTAAGATGAACCTCACGAACCGCCACTGATAAGAACGGCAACAAAATCATGTCTGTTGTATGGGAGCCCCCTTAAATATTTATTTTATTTTATTAGTAGTATTTTTTGTTGTAGTGGCAATAGAAATATGTCATCTGTAGAAATTTGAACCGTCTTAGTATCACGGTTCATGAGATACAGCCTGGTGACAGACGAACGGACGGACGGACGAACAGCGAAGTCTTAGTAATAGGGTTCCGTTTTACCCTTTGGGTAAAAACGTTGTGTCCATAGACCGTGAATAGAGTTTAAATATTTTTTAAATATCTATAAATTATAATTCTGCTTTAATAGTTTATTTTAAATTTATCAGTGGCTATAGCTACATACTAGTATTTATATTCAATGATAACATAATATAAGCCTATATATAACCTAAAATTAACTTTCAAATATTTTTTTTTTTAACTCGACTAAATTGAATTAATATAATTCATCAAGTCATGCACCTCTGCAGGCCTTGGGAAATTATTATTTATTTGGTGGTGCCACAATAAATAAACGGATTGTCATTTAATAGGTATTAATAATTTCATATATGTTTTTATTCCTCCTCTCTTTACATCAATAATCTTTATTACTGAATTATGCCGTATATGAGGGCAATAAAGCCGAATACAATAATAATACCAAGTACATTCATGGTGCATTGTATACCTTTTATAAACTACTGGCACACTCGGATTTATTTTTAAATTAATTAATTGGTCAAATTTAACCGTTTAGTATTAATTAACTTGGAATAATGAAAAATAATTCAAAATTTTTAAAACATGATCGACTAATTGTATTCGAGATGAAAAATGGTCACTAAGATAACATAATATAATTTTCTAATAATATTATTATTTATAGGTAGCTATTGTAACTAAATTGATTATTATGGTTATAACGGATAGACTTTAAATGTCATACACTTTTAAACATAATAATAATAAAATCATAAAAAATACCATTGTTTCTGAATCCATCTGACTACGAATGCTCATAAAAGTGCAGAAAGAACTAAAAGGATTTTTAAAGCAATAAACATTATATGCAGTATAAAACATTATCGGTACCCAAATAGCTCAGTCTTAGAATACGGAAAAAAGAAAAAGAAAAAAAACATCCATAAAAAAAATTCTTGGTAGGAATAAAAGCCTATGGAAATAATACCCAAAATAAAAACCCGTGATATATCCTTTATTACCAATAGTAAAAAATATTGTCTTTAATATAAATTAATATATATTGATACCTACACATTTCTTACTATTAATTACTGTTTGCTATGATGTTTATAGTTATTAACATGCGTATTATTTTATATTAAATGCCAAAGTATTAGTTTTTAATTTAAATCCAAATATATTTTTAACTTTTAACATTTGTAATTTTCGAATATTCCTGCAATAAAGCATTTAAAAATTTAAAATACTGACTATACTATCGTAATAGATACCTATATCTTAATGTACATTTTTAGTAGCATCCTATGTTTTTATTAGATATTTAACCATACCCTAATTAATTAAATAATATAATATATTACATTTATTGCTCAATTTATCAATTATGAATTTACTTATTCACCTTTGTTTATAATCATAATAATAATAATAATTTTTTTTTCCACGGTTATTTTTCCTAGATTCAGTTTTACTTTGATTTTTCCGTCCTATTTATTAGAGTACTTTTAGATAACTCCATGTCATTCTGGACATTCTTGTATGAAACTCGAGTAACATTTTTGAGTAAATGTATTTAAATAATTTTAAGTACTTAAATAGATACGTATTTTAAGTACTTTTAAAAAAAGTACTTGGATAATGTATTTTAAATACTTATTCGAAAATATATTTGTATTTAAAATCAATAACAATTATTCAAATACTAATTTTTTTTAGTTTAAATATTTTCTATTTTAGTTTTAATGACACAAAAAAAAATAAGTACAAATTAAGAATTTATTATAATATATATTTTTTTACTGGGAATTATATTTAAACAAAAATTAAAATGGTTCAACAAAGCAATAGAGATGATTATTAAATAGTCAAACCAAATTATAAAATGCTCTATAAAATTAATATGAACCATGAGAATCGATTCAGTTCAGGTAAAATAAAGTAAAAAAAAAAATGTTTATAAAAAATTTGAAAGTATCTACAAATATTTTTTTAAAGTGTTTTTGTATTTGTATATAAATACTTTTCAAAATTAGTATCTGTGTCTGTACTTGAATAATTGAATAATTACTTAAAAAAATCTTATACAAGACTGACTACGAGTAGGTTGCTAACAGGCAGTAGAAGAGCGCTAATTAAAGTTTTTACAGTAAACGGAATATATTTAACAGATTTTTTGTGTTATACATTATTCTCATGGCTTAGTTTAAGAATTTATGATATATAACATTTATTTAAAAAAACGGGATGTTTAATACGAAAATGAAGTAAAAGAATAGTATGTAATAAATTAATATTCGTAAATATATGATGCAACATTAATGAAGTCTTCTATTTTATAAATTTTACTTTCAAAAGTAATCAAATAGAAGATATTTTAGTAAGTTTCAGGATAGATGGATAAACTAATAATAAGTGTTGGAACTTAATTTATCAAAATAAAAATAAAAATAAAAATAATAATAAGCGCTAGGTATATAATATAACATAGTATTGAAATACATATTTTGCGCCAAAAAATATAGAATACAGTAACAAAAGAAGGAATCTTTTAATTACTTATAAGGTACCCTAAATATCCATATTTTATTTTTTTTTATTTTTAATATCTATTTATCAATAAAAATAAAAAATGCTTACAAGTACTTCCAGCGCAAGAATCTACAAATTATAAATACAAACATTTTAGAATATTGATTGGAGTAAAAATTATTTAATTTGTCAGGCTATTCTGATAAATCTTGAATATAGCTTATACTCTTCTATATATTCTTCTATCTTTATATGTATTCCACAGTAATTAGAAAACACTGTGGAATCTGAGACCAGCTAATAATAAGTGTAGTATGTATTATATTACATTATCTGCTGAAAAAAATAACATACATTCTAAAGCAAAACATTTTTTTCTCTGGTCCGTGGAAAATTATTATATTGTATTAAGTAGGTAATTATTACTATTAAAATTATACTCAAGAAAATCAAAATCCTTATGGCGTATTTAATCCAATGAAAAATACTATATTGTACTAAAAATAATAATAGAAATACCTATACTACTTACCAATAACCATATTATAATGTAATTCAGCTAGGTAATACAAGAATAAATTTAGTGCACAGTAAATAAACTCCCTACTACCTACTGCAGAAAAAATATATTAAATCCATTTATAATGAACATTGGTGAAGACAATCATTAGTTATGATAAAATTAAAAAAAGCGATTTATGATTTTTTAAGTCTTAAATAAAAGGTTAGGTCATTATCATTAAATGAAATATTTATAGTTATGGTACTAAAAAAAAAACCTATTTTAGTTCATATGAACATTTTGTAAGTACCTACAACAAGAATACAAAATACCTATTATCGTTCCTTTACTAACAAGATAAATTACTACCCATTGATTTATATTTTATGCATTTAAGCTACAGACAGCACATATCTGACAAGTATTAGTCGATAAATCTGATGGAACCGAATTTCAAGAGTAAATCAACAAAGTTTCCAATGGCTATATAGTTTAAATGCAAAGCCCTGCACAACGTTATCATACGGATACGCTGAACACATACACAATAAACGTGATGAAAAATGATTTATTTTACTACTAAAAAAATTGATACACATAATATATCTATGATATTCACCTGATAATTTTGCGCCAATCCACGAGAGAAAGAAGGAGTCGTTCCTAACAGTTAGAACATACTAAACTATGAATTATGAGCGCTTAAATGAACGACATAAAGACCCACCATATTTTATGTGAAAAATGATTCTGGTGGTGGCACAATATAAACTGATCTTCATTCAATTAAACATAATGTCTGTCCCGTCACCCTACTTGGCTATTAATATATTTTTATTCCGACAATAAATTTTAGTACGTATATGGGTGAAAACGGCATACGTCGGCAATTACCCAAGTATTGTAAGCGCTATCGTATAGACATAACATAATTGCAGGTAAGTATTAGTATCCTCAATATTGTCAGAGGTGGAATACGTGTATGTCCATTTTTATTTTCTATCGCTATATAGATTAAAGGAGAATAGTATGTTCAATGTTTGATAAACGTATACCTATAGTACCTATGGTACAATCATTGCCTACTATTGTCAATATCAATCAGTTTCTATCAGCTACAGTATTACCCGACTAGGTAAGATTTAATAGTAAAATATAAGGTAAATAATTTATAATTATAAATATTATAAGTAACTAGAAAAAATTGATTTATTTAAAAATGACAGGGATTTATTCAAGTGGCTAATTAGATAATGTCCAGGTCGATCAAAATATCAAATCACTATCCATATTGATAATATAGAATAGTATAGAAAAAATGCAGCACTGATCGTTAGTCGAAAAGTTTAAAACAATACTGAAATTTGAACAAAAAATGTAGGTTTTATAGCTATAATCAACAAATTAACAAGAAATTATATCGTTGAAATGCTACTGATATCGTATCCTCTTATATGATGCCTTTACCGTCAGATCTAATTCGAAAAAATAACAAGATTTGTTCCTGGTAGTTTTGTTTGTCTGTAAATAGGTGATTAAAACTCCAGCGTAAATTCGAAAAAAGTAATACATGTTAAGTAATATTAATAATAGTTGTAATTGAATATAAAATGGTGCGAGACGATGGAGCATGGATCGAATTGTTATAAATAAAAAAATAATATGGCAATGGTATATATTTTAAAGATAACTGTTTTTTTGAATTCGAATCTGATAATTTGTTTTGATTGAAAATCTGACTTACAGTTTCAATCATTGTTTTTCTCTCAATTAAGTTGTACGGTTGTTCAAAATAGTGTTTAGTTGTTTAATATGATTAATAAGTTTGCAACCACCAGATGGTCCGGAAGAAATTCGAACGTTCTCAAGAAAAATATGGGACGAAATTGGCATTTTTAGGGCAGAAAAATTGGGACCAAGACATTTTGTGTACATTTGAAAGCGGTAAATTGAGTCATGGGGAAAAAAGGTTATAGGTCCTGCAAAAATGAGATAACAGAAGATACTCGTCTTAATTTTGATTAAGCCTAATAATTATGATAGGTATATATGGATGATTTTTATGATGACGCATAAATATTACGTATTATTACGACGCAACAAATGTAGGGTTAATTCATATTATATTTTTGTACATCAACCTATGGCTATANTAAAAATAACTATGAACAAAATTTTAGAGGAGATTCAAATTTGGTTCCGTAAGAATCCCAATTGTTAATATTTTTAAAACGTCGTAAAACATTTCATGTTTAATAATGCCTGTTTTTACTTTTTTCGACAGTTATTTTTAGGCATTTTTACTTAAAAATAAAAAATCAGGATTAAATTTCCCTATACTCCGATAATGTATAGGTACATTTATACGTGTTATCACAATAAAATCATTCAGTTACCCATATTTTTGGAACACATAAATGTGTTTTTAAAGGACATTTTTTGAATAAATATTTTGATGAGTCGTTCTCTTAACCTCACATGGAGTTTTTGGTGCCAATTAAAGTGACCATACGTTTTTAATCTTCGGCATCATCTAGATCAGCGTTTCCCAAAGTGTGTTCCGTGGGACAATGTCAAGGGTTTTGTTAGATGTATGAGATTCTTAACTTGTCTTGCATATGTTCATAAGCATCCTTAGAGGAGGTGCAATAAGCAAACTTATTGTGTTAATTATGTATCTCATATTCTTATATGTACAATGATAAATTTTCAAATAAATATTAAATCGTCATAATTAATAAGTCAAATAACAAATTAACAATAATTCAATTGTAGTACATATTAAATATTAAAATGTTAAATATATATTTTAGACGATTTTCAAGTTTCTTAAAACAAACGTCATCATTGTAGCTTCTAGTGAAATACTAAAATCAACATTATTTCAAACTCTAAATGTTTTTAGATACTCGTTGTTTTTTAGCATAAAGCTAAAAAATTATTATTAGGTAAAGGCACCTACTTGAAGTTAGTGCTTAAAACAAAGTACTTAAAACTTTCTATAAACATAAATTTAAGAGGACGTCTCAATGAAAAGTGTCGACATACAACGCTCAAGAGATAGCGTTGTTAGGGGCGCATGTAAATTCCGCCCGAAAATGGTAAATTCCGCCCAAAATGAACTACAGGTAAAATAAGGTTCATGTAAATTCCGCCCGAAAAAAATACAGGTAAAGAAACATACATGTAAATTCCGCCGGGAAAAAATGTATTACTGTTAATAAACAAATTTCTGAATGTGTCTTATTAATCATATTATTA